ACTGACGATGCGGCCAGATTACGTTAGAGCAGTTCTCTCGAGGTCTAGCTTCCTCGCATGCGTGACGGCATTGAAATTTTCTCCTCGTGCACGCGTTCAGGCCGCTGAATATCGACCCGCGTACGTCTGCGTGCTGTCCTGGAGACGAAGCTATTCCCTCTGCTGCCCAAACCTCAACACCAACGTCACGAGAAAACGGGGCGTATTTCCCACGTCTCGGTCCAGGCGAAAAGGCCAGAGCTGGATTGCAGATGGTAAGGGTGAGGAGGCTGCCCCCCCCTCACGGCAGCCTCTCACTGCCGCTAAGGCCGCCGCACCTGCCACTGCCCTCGCTCTCGCAGTCTCCCCTTCAGAATCTGCATAATCTTCAGTCTCCCATCTCCAAGGTACAATTGGCGTCTGGCGTGACACAGTTTCGGGTTGCGTCCAGCTACGGCCAATGTTCGTGGATAATATTTGATGCCTTGAGTGAACTGTTGTTGCAAGGCACTTGTCCCGCTTGATTGGCAGAGTTTGTCAGCCCACGGCTTGAGCCCTTGTTGTTGTTGTTGTTGTTGTTGTTGTTGTCTTCACGTTGAAAAACGTTCCGGTTCTCTCTACCCAGTACCTTCTTCTGTCCGTACTAGTCTAACACTTGACGGGGTCGATTCCCGTGGTCACAGGCTAACTTACCCACAAAAGGTATACGAAAAAGGACCCGAAGGGTCCGCAAGCCAGTAGAAGTTAACGACAGATAGTCTAGGCCACTCCGCTCGCCTCGACATGCTATAGCGAGGTAACCCTAGGTTGGACAAAGAAGGAAAAAGAAAAAGAAACAGACAAAGAAACAGAAAAGAAGAGAGCAGATGGAGAGAAGGGAAAGAGAAGAAAGACACACGCCGTAGCGACAAGCAACAATAAAGAACAAACAGAACAACGCAAGACAACAACAAAACAACACAACACAAAGCGGGCCACCCGAGCCAGCAAACGCACGTCATCGCTCGCGGGGGGTTGGTGCAATGGTGCAGTGCCGGGGGGGGGGGGGGGAGGGGATAAGTCAAGCAAGAGGGTTCAATTCGGCACAGCGGTTTCGTGCCATTGGGTCCGCCTCTTCGCGTTTCCTGTATTTCCTCGCTGTCACGTCCGCCTACTGTACCCCTCCCGCCCCCGTGGTTGTTGCCGTGTCCGTGTTGTTGCCGGGTTTCTTGTTGCGTTTGAGCGCTCGTTGTCGGCTAGCCTCCTCTTCCTTTTTGTGCCAGGAGGTCATGGACCTCTTAGCTCCCTGTAGTACCCCTGTATGCCATGGTTTCCCCCGGTCCACCTTCTCTGCTTCCATCCAAGTTGTTTTTCGGAACTCCGAAGAAGCATGGTTCGGCGTCCGTAGTTCCGTGCTCTGCTTCGAACCTTGTGCGATAAATAAATCTACGCCGTGGGTCGGGTTCTCTACTCATGCCTTCCAAAAACCCCGCGCATGTCTTGTGGCGATCAGCCAGCACGGGCGAACTGTGGTGTATGTCGTTCCCCGCAGAATCGACCTGTTGATGCTGTGTTCATAGATTGGGAGATGTGGTTAACACCGAATCAAATGGTACAATACGCCCTGGTGTTGGATAGTTGGTCACCCGTACCAGCAAAGTTTCACCTCATATTGTCTTGACGTATCGGCCACCTGTACAGGCCGTTGGCGGAAATGAGTGCAACATGCAGTTCCCGCATCTGGCTCTGCATTTTCCGTATAAACCGCTTCTGAAAACACCTGTCGCCCCCGCTCGAAGACATGATATTGCTTTCGATGGACTGATATCAGGAGAGGAAGTGCCGTTCGGCTGGACCGCCAAACAGTTGGACAGTAATGACAAGAGCTGAAGAAGCTATGGCTAGGGGAAGGTATACTTGCGCAGGGTATATACATGGGTGACAAGTTCAACGCCCGACAGTACTTCACCTCCTGCAACCCGTAGCTATTGTCGCCGTTGCCCGCCTCTTGCGGGGGGTCCGTACTCTCGAGGCTGCACTTATCCTCTGATGTTTTCCTCATACAATTGACGGGGGGCCAACGCCAGACCTTGCATCCGTGTTTGCTGTGATACCAGCAAACATGTGATGACACACTGACCAGTATGGATGAGTTCGCAAATGGTCACCGTAAGTCTACGTAATATTTTCAAATATATCCTGCCCATCGTACATTTCACTCGTCGTCTCGCCCCGCCCCTCTCGTTTTACCTCTGTACATGCACGCTTATCCTCGCTTACCCACGCTTGTCTTACCTTGCGATTCGGGCCCCGCCGCCCACTGGGGCTTTCAACTCCCTACATGTAGTACATACAATGCCACAATAACGGGTACCCGCCGCAATGCGATTACACTGGGACCACGACTACTGTACAGGCTCTGCTGAAGGTTACGGAGCCTTTCATGTTATTTTGATATTTTGCTGATCGTTGGAAGACAGAAAACTGAACACTGAAGTACACAGAGGGAGGGGCACCCGAATACAGTTAGTTGTGGTTTGAATTCAATGCAGAGAAGAAGAGGACATGCTGGCCGCACGCAATACAGTACACAAGCACAAGATCGCCACGTCCCGAGGCCTTTGCTCAGGAGAACAACAGCCAAGCAACCTGTGTCAGATGTAAGATGTCAGATGTCAGATGGTCAGATGTCAGATTTGTGGTCAGACGTCAGGTGTTCGTTGGTTGTGGTTCGGTTCTCGAGCAGAACCAACTGTTTAAGAACCGACGAACCAACAACATACACGCTTGCATTGTCCTCGATCGCGCTCTCCGACGTGTAGTTCGTGCCGACGGCCGACCGGAACCCCCCCCCCCCTTCCGCTGCTGCTGCTGCCACCGCCGCTGCCGCCAGTGCCGCTCGCCCTCTTTCGGGCGGCGATGTCCTATGACCGCTCCCTCCCCGTGGACATGCCAGTACTGCTGTACCATGATGCTCTCCTCGCTGCACCGTTCACGGGAGCGATGGAGTTCGCGGCGCATCCTCCTTGGGTGTCGCATTCCTCCAATTGGGCTGAAAGTCCGTCCGCGTCTTCATTTAGGGCAAGGAGACGCGGGTGGTGTCACGGTCTGCTCTGACTGTCCGGATCTTGTCGCCGCGCCCTCCCCCCCCCGTTGTCCGCTGCTCCTGCTACGTCTCATCGCGAGTTTGATTCGATCCTCCCTCTACGGAAAGATCCTACTGCTGTGCACATGATACCCTGAAATCGTAACGCACACGAAGAGGAAGTTGTAAATTCGGCGGTTACTGGTACATTACTTGGACACCTCAGACAGCCGCTCATCACATCTTATCTGAAAGACAGGTGTGTCTAAAATTTTCTCAGAAGTTCAAACCTATCATGTTTAGAAGTAGTTTGCTCGAAAGAAACCTTTCTGGTGCACTGCTGTAAAACACCCAAATGATACGAATCAGGGAGGATTCGTGTACATTATGATGACAAATACCTCGGAGTCGACACAAAGATGTAAAAAAGCGTCCGTGTTGCACGTATTCGGAACTTCTCGACATTAGTCTTGAGTTTACATGAAGTCACTCTTACACTCTCACACTCTCTTGCTCACCAAATTCCATCAACCTTTTCCGGTAGATATTGAGCACATCGAGCCGCGAAAGGTTTGATCTTTCCACAGTTTCACATGTGTCGTGCATGTGTAGCACGGCAGAATCTGGTACGGGTAGTACAGTACACAGACTGCTGTACTTGTTACTACTGCATGAGGAAAATAAAGACAACCACCACGTATCTACACGTTCAAGATATACCCACAGTCGAACCGGATGCAGACCTGTGTTTCGGATCTTTACAACCAAGCGCAACAATTCTGAACTCTGATCTAAACATGCTCATCTCGTGGAACGTATAATCGCCGCGAAGTTTTTGTGAAAGATGGCAACAATACCTGAGTGCATGAGATTGGCGACGTTATGTTGCAACACGCTAGACTTGTGTAGAGACTGCTGCACGTCCGACCCTCACACGCGAATTTTCGGGCTGTGTCCTACAGTGGTACGCCCTAGAAAAACTGGATACCTACCGACTAGCCCCGACCGTAAAACAAAAGCTACAGAGTTGACACATAGCTGACTCACCTATCTCAGGCGGAAACTCGACGCTTCCAGCACCGCTTCGCCTTACGTAGCCGGTTGTTGGAGGCGAGGTCTTGAGTTGTTGCGCCGCAAGAAATCGAGGGGTTTCAACAGGGGTTGACTTCCCGCCCGAGGTGTTACGTCTCCTGGTACTTTTTTTTTATTATCAGGGGTGCAGCACTGCTCGCCTCACACGCACAGGGGTCCCACCGCCGCACCGCCGCACCCCCACGCCCCCACCGTCTTACACAAGCTCCCGCTTGCATCCGCCAGACACAACCACACGCCCTGCCGCGGAGGCCGCTGATCGGCCAGCTTAAGCCCCCCAGCTAAGGACCCTATCCTCTGCTCTCTCAACGACCCGGTCCATCCTGCCAGCGTACGACACAAACGGACGACGGAGCCAGCACACACACCTCTGGCTTCTCTATCGCCGCACGTATATAGAACATGGCCTCCGTTCATCGACCCCAGCGGGGGCCACGAAGCTCTCGGAATGAGCTGCACGATGCCGCCATGAAAGGCTCCACCAATCGCACGGAGGCGCTGCTCTCGAGAGGGTCGATTGATATCGACCAACAAACGGATCGGAGGGGTACACCCCTCTCATGCTCGCCGCCACCGAGGGCCACTCAGCCGTCGTCAGGATCCTTGTCCAAAACAGAGCGAACCTGTCGATATCATCCGACGAGGGTTACGCTGCTCTGCATCATGCGGCTAGAGGTGGTGGACGTGATGCCACCGCCTCCAAAATACTATTCGGAGCAGGCGCGGACCTCGAAGCTGTCGACTTGCAAGCGCAGACACCGCTTCACATAGCTGCAGACCGTGGGCGCTCCGAAATGATCAGAGCGCAATAGAGGCAAGGTCGAACGTAAACTGCCGTACTCTGATTGGAGTGACACCATTGATCATGGCGGCGTATGGGGGACACGTGGACGCAATCAGGCAACTCCTTAGGGCAAAAGCTAAGCCTTGCTTGGCTGCGCGGATTCCGGACAGCAACAACAACGCAGCAAACGTGCCCTTGGCTGTGTCGGCCCTCCTTGGGTACTCGGAGATGGTACAAGAGTTCATCAACGAGGTTGGGATCGAAGGCCGTGGAGGTGCACGCGGCGGCGAACAAGCTCTTGCTGTTGCCACCCGGGAGCAGCATATGGACGTCATGCGTGCGTTGACGAACGCAGGCGTCGTTGACACCGGAGAAGCGATCCTCTCCGCCGCCGGATGTGGTCGTGAGAGGGCCGCCATGCACCTCCTACATCACCACGAGGGGCGGAACACAGCCGGCACAAGGGAATACGCGAATACCGTCGGCCCCAACGGCACAACTCCTTTGTTCCTAGCTGTTGGTTGTTCACGTTGTTCTCCCAGGATAATGCGATTGCTTGTCGATGATGGTGCAGGCGGTTCAAATGGCAAACCCTCGTGGGGGGGATGGTGTTTTCCACAACACGCCGCAGGCTCTAGCGAAATACCTGTGGCTCGAAAAAATAACGCCGACGGGACGGAAGTCACTGATGAGCAGAAGCGCATGCTTGAGGGCACCCGCCGTTTTTTCACGTGTGTGGAGGCAGTCCATGCCGTGTTTTGGTTGTGGGCCAACGATGCTCCATCCACCGCCCGCCATGTCAAGGGCACCAGCACGACCCGGACTACCTGTGGACATTGGTCTTTGATGGTGTCGCTCATGAAGCGGGGGGACGGATCCCGCCGTTCAAAATTGGCGGCCATTTTCAGGTGTAGTGGGGCGCATGCGGTGAAAGTTGGGGGAGTCATGAAGGTCGGTCTCATCTCGACAGCCGATACAGAGTTTTAGCCTCTACTGCTGGCTGCGGCCACTTCTGTTGCGGCTGTTGCTTGTAATAGGGAACGCTGCGCTGCCTCGTCGCTAGACATGAGTTCACGTAGTCCCGCTGGCCTGGTACCCTTCGGTCGGACCTGCGTACCACTCCTCCGCTCTTGTAAGATGGTAGGCGGGAGGGTCCCGTAGACACAGATACTTCATTTGCCAGAAGGGCGTACGCGCTAATGTCACGGTACACAATGCTGCCTGGCCGTCGCCTTCCCAAACGGTTTGCCGTCTCCTCGTCGGGCTACCCGTACGTTGCGCGTGCCATGTATCGAGGCGACTCCTCCTGTGCGTTAGCTTGGTGATGGGTTGATAGCAGGCCTATCGTATCGGTGCTTGCAGGAGTGGTGTCGATTCGCACGCGCCATCCGGTCCTTTGAAAATCGAATCCGGTTGATTTTTTCCAGTTCAAAGCGCGGCGCCACACCGCTTGAAGAGCAAGAAAATACTTCATTGTTCCGCTTTCCGGCCTGTTCGGAATCGGAACTTGTTCCCCACGACGTTGCCGGGACGGTCTGTTCGCTCGCGCAACTCCACGTCAACTTTGCTGTCCGATCAATTTCGCGCACTTCTGCAGGTACTCCGCGAAGCCTTCATCGATCAAATTCGCGCACTGCTGGCGGTATTCCGCGAATCCTTCATCGTGATCAACGGTCCTGGTGCTGGGGCCGGAGAGTGGGTTTTCGGGCCATTTCGGTTGTCAGCGGGTCCATGGTGGCGCACGCAGGTCAGCTTCGATAGAGTGTTTGGCTGTGGCAACAGCAGCAACAGCAACGGCAACACATCAGAGGTCGAAATGACTATGCTAGGGTACGCCTGGTACGCGTTGAGGTTTTCGGGAACGTGCCATGTTCATGCTGTTTGTTTTATCCTGTGGATCAGGGTGCAGACTAATGTTACTGCGTGCTTTGAAGCATTTATCAGGCAGCTTTGAGCCATATGTGGTCCGCGCAAGCCCACCCGCTTATTGTCACTCGCAATTAATCGGTACGTTCGCTGCCTTTTCATGATAGGCTTTCCGTTCTGAAGCAGCTTGAGGGGGATGCTTGTGAAACGCGCCACTGTCTGGGCTGTATACTGCAGATAATGTTTGCTTCACGTATTGAAGAACAGATACCATGAGCTGTTGCTGCGGAGTCAGTTGGTTAAGAATGTGCTTTGCGTGAAGAGAAAGCAAGCCCGATGGTATGTTGGTTTGCATATGCATACGGGATGACGCGATATAGATTGGGGGGGGGGGGGGCGTAATCATTTGTTGCTTGCCGTAGTCATTTGACCATTGACCACGCGTCCCTTTCGAGACGGAGCACCGTTCCTACACCTACTAGAGACACCACCGACATTTGGGAGCTCTTTACGTTTCTGCCACAAACTCCATAAAAATTTCTTGCACATCTTATCCCCGTCCTCTAGGGCCTCTTGTGCCCACCATCTATCCCCAATTATCGCGATCGTTTTTTGCTGTTGTTTAATTTACCAAACTTGTCCATGTCACACCCTCTCTGTCTCATTTCCTCCTCGAGATCCTCTCTTTCCTTCTTGTACAACTCACACTCCCCAACTATGTGGGGTCTACTCTCCTCCGATTTGCCACATGGACATGTGTGTCTATCCTCCTCTTCCTCTCTCCTACGGCTGGTATACCTCTTCCTCCGTTCTGGCAAGTCCAGATCGCCTACTCGAAATTGCAATTTCAGCTTTTTCGCATTGTCCATGGGGCCGTCCAAGTACGTCTTCATCCCTATCCCTTCTTTCAACTTCCCGTATATCTCCAAGTGGTCTTCGCTTCGTACCTTCTTCCGAAGGGTTGCCTCCTCCCTACTCTCTAGCATCTCCTTGACTTTCGTCTTGAACCCCCCGAACCCTTCCGTGTCCAACGTCTCCTCCTCGTCTCCTATCTCCTTCCAAACCTTCTCTACCACCTTGTCCCATCTGATTCCCTTCTTTCCTGGAGTCGCTTTTCCCCAAGATGCCTTGTCAACCATGGCTGGTAGTCTATCGTCCGACATTCTACTTACCTTGTACTACCAATTCAACTTCTGCATGTCTCTCTTTGTTTTAAGAGAGTACATTCCCAATTCTGCTCTCAATACAGTGTTGCTCGTTGTACTTGAACATCCTAGTATTTTCTTGGCCGCTGCCATCTGCACCGTTTCCAGCTGCTTGACGGCCTTTTCGTTACCTTCCCATACCTCTCCTGCATACTCTAGCTTAGGTACAATCACATTCAAGAGAATACACCTCTTAATCCTAGTGTCTAGGTGTGGGTCCGTCAGGATCTCGTCCATCTTGCCTATCTGAGCTTTGCCCTTCCCAATCAACTTCGCTATGTGTGCGTCCCATGAGCACTCCTTCGAAATCTCTACTCCCAGGTACGTATACTTGTCTACTACCGGTAGTTCTTCCTCCCCCCATTTCCATTTGAATTCTACGGGATTTTTCTTGTCTTCGTTACAGACCACTACTGCGCATTTTCCTACGTTCGCCGACAGTCTCCATTTTCGGGTGTATCCTACCGCCGCATCTATTTGTTCTTGCAACCCTTCTGGTGTTTCGGATACCCCCACGAAATCATCTGCAAACATCAGTCCGGACACACTCTTTCCCCCTACTTGGACTCCCTGTCTTACTGCTTCAACCGCCCTTATCAAATCGTTGATGTAAATCTTAAAAAGAGTGGGTGACATCGTACAGCCCTGTGCGACTCCTTGGAGTATATCCACGTACTTCGAAATTTCCCCATCCAACATCACCGCACTTCTTGTGCATTCTGTCATATTTTTCAACGTCCTCCACATTTTCCCCCGGATGCCGATGTCCCACATCTTTGGGGGGGGGGGGGGACCGTGCAAAGGCCTTTGATGATTTCTTTAGTAAAGATGTTTCGCCTGACATACGGGGGCTTCATGCGCTGAGTCTTAGTGCACCAGGGAATCGGCATCCGGCAAGGCAGCGCCGCTCCTGGTTCTGAAGCACCTCGAGGTGCCTTCCCAACGTACCTGGGACGCGCTGATTCATGTGTTTTTTTACCCGGCCTCCCTCCCCGTTCCCTACGTAGCATTTTGACCCTCAAGGGGAGAAATAATTCTCTTCTGCTTCTCTTGCTCGTGCCCATCTTCCCACACCGCCTTGAGTATTTGCCAGTTTTGCCAAAGATGTAGATAAACTTGCTCCAAATGACGACGAATCAAACGGAGGCCCTGCCGCCATACACAGGTTAACGGCACACACTTCGATGACAGCTGCAACTGTTCTCGACGATCGAACGGAGGTTTGTAACTGTTCACGAGGAAGAATGCCCAAGCGGTCGAGAAACACAAGGTTCTCGGAGGGAAGTTTCTTGGAAGTTTCTTTTTCCATGAAAAACAGGGCAACTAAAGTCGATGGTGCCTCCACTTCGCGCTCTTGTCGATTCATTTGTTTTCCAGCGGACGGGAACAAACGAATAAACAAACACCAACAGGCCACTTGCCGTCTCTGCCCACATCCCCTGTTCACGAATGTGAATATCGGTGCGGAAAGGGTGCGTTCGTACGTATATATGGTGAAGGTGACGCTTTGGGCACGACTCATCAACATATCCGGCAGGCACATGCGAGCAAGCGGTAAACCAAACCGCGCTCGGTGTGGGGCGACCATCGAGCCGCAACCCTTAAACAAAATGAGGAGCTTCGGAAGCATTTCTTCAATTGAGCAGAGGTATGCATTACGTTCCGGGACTCGCGGGGCGCACTACGTAGGATTACGGGCGCCCGCCGAACAGCAGCCGCTTTGGGACTAACGTGGATGCACGGAGCCCTGAAACCTGCCCACTAAATCTGATTTGGTCGCAACGACTTTTGCCCGACGCTTCTCATCCAAGGCATTCCACAACATGCACGCACCTAATCCGACAATGATAACTGGCCTTGTTCCCACTGTCCATCTGCAACGCGCAAATTTCGGACAAGATGAACTCTTCCGCTGCCTCCTCTCTCGCACACCAAACGACAACCAACGGAGGTAAAATATGACATACAACAGAACCAAGCACCAAGTGCCGCGTTTTCTTCATCCCTACATTGCACGGTGCCTGCCGTCTAGCAAACATGACAACAGTGACGATGGGGGGGCACTTCCGGACACAAAGGCGACAACACAAATCGGCAAGCGATACGCCCCACCGTACGCAAGACCACGAGGCGCCACCCGACACACGCCTATCCCACGCGAATGCGCCGTACCTTCGGTTACGTTGTGCAAGTTGGAAGATCGGCAAGCCGCCACTGCGCCAACTCCCCCGGTGACCTCAGGCCTACTACAGCACTTCATTTTCCTGTGCATGCATGCAAAAACCCAACAGACAGTGTTCGACCGCAGCGACGAACGGCTTCCTTCACCTCCGCCGCACCCGAAAAAATATCGCAGAGTGCTGTGTCCTCGCGCCCTCTTTGGCCACACGCCCGACTCAACCCTCTATATAATCAATCCGCCCCCAACTGAACGGTGACTACCGCTCGAAGCGCGGTTATCCTCACCGTTGCCACACACCGCGGCCCACGAACTGAGAAACCGGCGAGCAACCACCGTCCTGCCCTGTGATACTCTATCCCCTGCGTCATCCTACGCCGTTGTCTGCGGCGAAGGAGGCGTGGCCTCTCCCCCCGCTCCCGTGCGAGTCGCGTCGGCGGCGGCCGTCTCTTTCGCTGCGGAGCCCCCCCCCCCCCCGGGAGGGGGGTCCCGCGACACTGGAGATGGGGACCACCGGGCCGCCGCCGGAGGAACACGCGCACAGACCGGCGCTCTCACAAGCCGGAATCTTGCAGCCGTGCTTGAAGCCCTGTCGAGCAGGACGAGTAATGCGCATAAGGGCGGGCGGGCGGGCGTGACCGGGGGGGGGGGGGGGGTTTTTTTTTTTTTAAACCCGGCCCTGCCT